CAGGAAGCTTATTTATAACGGAGTACTAAATGAACATCCATAATATAATATATTTATAACAAGAATCCATTATTCACCAAATTTTAAACCGCGCCAGTGAATATTCAAACCTAATATTAAAAAAAACTACCAAAACAAAATTCAACTCCCTCTATACCATTGAATTAAGAGCTCCATCTATTAAACTACTGTTTTCCAATAATAAAAGACGACAGTAGGAATTATTCGAAAACATTATTTAGCTGAATCTCTCTGCAGCAGTCCATAATCTCAAGCAGCATTAAACCAGCAAAGAAGAACATGCCTTTGTTAGGGAGCGTTCGGATTTAGTCGGGCCCCAATGAGGGTACCAAACACCGGATGGATTATGGAAGACAAAAAAAAAAGGCTTTTGACGAAACTAAAATACTAGCAGGTGGATAACTCTACTATGAAGATGAAATACATGCCAAATTCAGCAAACAGAAATTTCAAATCAAAATTCAACATGTTGCTGAATTCTGAGTTAATACAACCCAAACAAGAAATAGAGAGGTAATAACCTTGTTAAGGTTACAATTTTGTACACTTACCTCTATTTCACTTACAAATGATAACCTTAACAAGGTAAAAGTAGAAAAGAAAAGAAAGTAGAAAAACAAAAATACAAGATTTTTAAGATCAAATTTATGTACAGAATCAAACACAAACGTGTCATTTTACCTCCACAGAGTGCTATGTCTCATAGGAAGAAACTGATTAAGGAAACAAGTTTCTTCTGGAGGCTCTTTAACATGCCACAGAATTTATGGTCACAAGTCCTCATTGGTAAGTACTGCAACCCCATTGAAACTACATTTAGTAGATTGCAAACCAGCACCGTACCTCGGCTATTTGGAATAACATCCAAATATTATATCTATGGCCCCTTAAATATCCAAGATCATAACCTAATGGTCAGTAGCATGATAGATAATGGAAAATGGTTGCTCTCAGTCTCTCCTTTGAGCTACCTCATGAACTTCTACAGGCTATATACAACATTTGTCCTCCCTTTATCCGGAAAAACAAGATTCACTACTACGTCTGCCAGAACCATGATAGAACCAACAGTCTCTTCTTGCAAGGATTTCATGGATTTGGAAACAAGATACTCAAAATAATATTAAATTTTTCCTATGGGTTTGTTATCATATAAATAACCAATGCCCAGTATGTCACATGGACCTGGAAAATACTATCCATATTTTCTCTTACCTGCCATATTGCCCAGCAGTCATGCCTGACATTTCCCCAAAATAGAAAATTCCCAGAATCACTGGTTAAATGTCATCAAGGATATTAATTACCAACCGACCAACGCAACTTCTACACTTGGAAGGAATTGTTTCCCTTCTCCTATGGTATCTATGGAGAAACAGAAAGAACAACCATTATAATAATCTTGATAACATAGAAAATGTGCATATGAGAGCTGCGGAATTTAAGCTGCTAACTGAGAATGAATGAATGCACAAGTCTATACTAACCTTTTAGGTAAGATAGCATCCACCACTAGCTGGGTTTTTGTTTTCTTTTGAGAAAGGTAGCAATTTGGATTGATAATAAAATCAGCACCAGTTCAGTGCTGATAACTGTATGTACAACTCAAAACGAGCAAAAGAAGAACACTTGATGTAACAGTTATTTACAAGCTACCTATTAAATCTATCAGGTCTCCTACATCATCCAAAAATTCCTGTTTACACCAAAAATAAAACAAGGAGAGACAATCCATCTTAATCTTGTGAATGGAACTGCTTTTGTCCGCTAGCTGGATATTTTTAACTTAATGTAGATGGAGTAGCGAAGGGACATCTAAACAAAGGAGGCATTGGCGGAGTAATCAGGAATAACAGAGGAGCCTGGTTGTTAGGCTATTACAGTAGTCTACCCGAATCAAATCATACACAAGCTGAAAGTTCAAAATATAGTAATGCTTGACGGTAGGTTGCTGATGAGCCAGCTGGGGAGGGGGAAATCGAGCATAGCTTTCTAGAACAAAATGCAGTAGCAGACATACTGGCTAAGGAAGGAATTAAGGGGGTAAATCATTTAGTTTTCGTGCACCTACCAGCTCCACCTCATTTTGTACTAAATAGTTTAGAAGCAGATAGGAAAGGAGCAACTTCTGCTAGAAATATTTCTGCATTTACTTGTAATATTTTGTCCCGCATGACATACTACTATGCTCTAGAAAGCATAAACTCTCCAGTATGTACTAGATTTAACTAGTTATCAGTAATATATTTCTCCCTTTTACCAAGAAAAAGAAAGAAAGAATATATATATAATATATATATATATATATATATATATATATATAGAGAGAGAGAGAGAGAGAGAG